CCGTAGCCACAGCCGGCTATACACGGCTCCGGGCGGCTGTAGGGATGTTTCCTGTCTCCCTGTCCAAACCATCTGCTCTCCCAGCTGCAGACAGCAAGACAGGCCGTTTCTCCTTAAGAATTGCCTAGAAAGAACTAGCCTGAAACCAGCGGAGGTACAGTGTCATCCAGAGCTGGAGTTCAAGAACTAGGCGCCTGGCAGTTCCCTACCCGCAGGCAGCAGCCTTGTCAGCGTACACTCAATTTTAGCTGCTTTCACATTGGACAGAGGGAGAAGATCTGACGTGGTCCCTATCCATGAGGCAAACTGATTAGCAATTGCATCTGAAAAACAGACTTTGATGTCAGTATCACTGAAAGAGAAAGCCTCCTTACATTTAAGACACAGCATGTCAGTCTGCTGCAAACCAGATGAACAAGGAGAACTTCTAAGAGGATGCTACTCCATACAGAATGCCGTTTCCTTTAAAAATACTGGTGATGGTTTGAAAGGTGTCTCACAAAAACTAGTGTAAGTTACCACAAGACAAAGAGACAAGGGGACACACAACCAGTTAAGTCAGTGCCACAGCCCCAGTACATGCACTAGCTGTAGTTAGACTACAGTTACCCTGTCTTGGGGTACATCTCTGGGGTACAGAGATGGGGAAAGTAACTAATACTAAGGATATCTTGATTTCGTTACTATGCAAGAATTCAAATCCTGATTCAGGTTTGAACATCGGATATTCTGATACCAAGTAACCTAAGTATCTGTTCTTCCCTCTGCACAGAACCACATCATTTGGACGAAAATGACATTCTAGATGGCTATTTTCTTCCAAATGAAATAGATCTTCATCAGGTAATTATATTGCCAAAAGCAGAATGGGAAAGGCTTCAGGACAGCCTTGGCAGCAGAACCAGAGAAGCTGCACGCATCCTCGCCAAGAAGAAAGAGCAGGAAGAAATGCACTTACGCTCCAAAGCTGCCGTAAAAGACTGGCCCAATACCAGTATGGCAAGTACAACATACATTTGTAAACAAGGGGATTCATTTTCATATATGGAAAACCACTCATAGTAATGTTTCTAGCTGCACTCCCTTTAACATGCTTTTAAACATATATTTTAACTGAAGACAATTAAATACATTTAACTTCTAACAGAAAAGGTTTTCTTTATCAAAGGTAAAATATAAAATTAATAAAACCCCAAAACACTGAGTATCTCGCCTTCAGAATGGTTTATACATTTTTAATCCATGGGCTTTAGATGTGATTTCTAATTTTATCTGCAATATAGGGCATGGCACAACGGAAACTAAAAGCCAGAAAATTACGTGAAGAAAGGGAAGAGGAAGAAAGAAAGTTAATTGATTTGGAAGAAGCAAAGTTCCAAGAAGCAAAACGGAAGGAGGCTATTGATCGTGCAAAAACCTACCTAAGCTATCAGAATGAAAGAATTAAAGGTTTTCATGTGTGTTGACAACTTTTTGAATTTAAGTTGTACTGACCGTCTTTAAACACTGCTGAACATCCAAATTATTCTAAATGTTCTCTTGCAGAGTGCACTTCTACTTACCAAGGTCCTAAAAGAAAGAGATGCTCAAGTTGAATTTAAAAAGTTAAAGTCAGATGCTAACAAAAAGAAGCATGAAGAAAAGGAACATGAATGTAAAGAAGCTGATCTCAGAGAGCAAGAAGAGGCACGTCAGCGTCATATGAATGAACAGGCACTACGCAGAGATCAGCTGGAACAGTAAGTGATAATCAAAAGTAACCCTAAGTTATTATTTACTCTTCTTACAAATACATTATACAAGGTTTTTACAGAAACTTACTGAATCCAGAGTGCCACAAAAGACCTTGCACAAATGGGAAAAGCTGCGATATTGCACTGTCTTTTACTTGCCAACAGTCTACACGTAAAATGGCCTCTAGCAGGCCTCAATAGGTTTTGGACAAATCACTACTCAAAAGTTGTACCTGAAAGTGTATTTCAACCCAGTTTTGGTTCCAGAAAAGGTTAAACCAGGTTTTCCATTTGCCCGTAACTAGAGTCCAGAGAACACATCAAGAGAACACATCATTGCCACCTCCATTCTTTCTGTCGGCTCTTCCAGATACCTTATGAGGGAGTCCCCAGGGGAATTTATAGACACCTGGCCCTGGTGGTCTGAAAGAAGGAGTCAAATTCCCTGAAGCAGAGGAAGGGTTCAAAGACTGGTCTCACATATCTCAGGTCCAACAAATAAATCCTTGCAGAACTTCTTACAGAACACTCCCAGCTTAAGCTGTTGCCTGCATGCCCAGAAAGAGAAACACAGATACAGTGGGACTTATGGAGGAAACCTTGTCAGTGAGGATGCTGCAGAGAGAAGCCAGAACATTATAAATGCAATGGTGCTAATGAGTCATCCAGATAAAACTTGTTATCACTATACTGCAAACTGTGAGCACACCGTGTACCTCCTTTCTGGTCAAAGGATTTAGGGCTACCATGACAAAAAATGATGCCATTTTTCACCTCTGATATTACACCCACCTTCAATTCAAAGTATCACATTCTTCAGTGCAAGGTACCTATGGCTATGCAGAATCTGCATCTGTTCATACTTTGTGCAGTCCCTAGCCCGTTTATTCTACTTTTTTTTTCCCAATTCAGAATAAAGGAACGCAAGCATCAGGCAGATCTGGCCAAGCTCGAAGACAAAAGAGAAGGGGAACAAATACAGTTATCGAACCGATTGTACCAATTGGAAATTCAGAAATGTAGAGAAAAGGAAGAGAAAGAAAAAGTTGAACACCGGAGGCAGCATCATGTAAGCAAACAGGAAAGCAGAGTTTAAAGTGCTTGTTTCACCTTGGTTGCCTGGAGTGAAACTGTTGCATTTGGCCCACAAATAAACGGGCCTCCTGGCAAGACGAGGTTTGCTGACAGCTTCAGTAGCAGTGGATCATATGCCTAGCCTACCAGCTGCAAGCTCTTTCCTCTGTGCTTCTGAGAAAGGCCTCTTGTATGTACTGGCTGGGGCTGCACAGTCATATTCCTCTCAACATCCCCCTCTCCCAAGTGTGTGAATAGAAAAAAGGGGTAATGCTCACTGTATTGCATAGCAATTTGTCTGTGAAATGGGCTGAGGAAGCAGCTGGTCGATACTCAATTCCCCTTCTCCTTACTCATATCTAGTCTCCTCTTCATGTATGTTTGAGACAGAAATGAAAGTCCTGAGAAACCCTTTTCCTCTCTTCTGTCTTTGAAACAAACACAGAAAGAGAGAATTGGGAGTGATTCTTTTAAGTTGCTACCCCAAGCCCAGATCTTCTCAACTTTCCCCGTTGCATCAGGACCGTTTTGCCCATGCAGGAGCACGTAGCTGACCAGAAAATAATCAAAGCAGTAGAGAAACAAAAACAAATGGAAGAAGATGCTCGGATCAAAGCTCATTTTAAAGCAAAGCAGATTATTGCCAAGCTGACAAAAGAGAAAAAAGCTGAATTGCGAAGGTAGGTACAAAGCTAGTGTATAAATTGCTAATAAACTAAAAATTATACTATAGTAATTTTCAAATCTTTCAGGCTGATGATACAACACAATCCACAGTTATTGTAGAAATTAAATTATGACAGAGAGGGTAGGAAATTCAGGAGAAAAAGGAAATTCTGTCACAGGTTCCTTAGTAATAGGTGTGGGAGGGAAGCAATCTTGCCACCCTTCAAAGTACAAAGATGTACAGAAGTGCAAAGCTCTACAACAGGGTGTTGGGATCAGTGATTTTCCGTATCTCTGCCAAGCCTCCACCTCCTCAAGAATTAAAGACAATTAAAATCCTCAACAAAAGTATTTTTGGGCACTGGATCAGATTATGAAAAATAATTTGACTTCTTAATTAGGCACCTATATCAACTAGTTACATTGGGTTATTATTAAGGGAAGGGGGTTTATCAACATGAGGTCAGCATGATACCATTGAGCTGATCTAAGAGTTTCCTTCTTTTCTCATTTCGGGCCAATAGACCCAACATTTCTCCCCTCATGGCAAAATGCTAGGCAGACTCCTCACTGCATGATCCAACTCATTATTGCAACAGAAAGCTAGTGTTACAAGAATACAGGGAACATTTATTTGCTAAATCAGACAACTAAAACCAAAGAAACAGGAGGAACACAGATCGAGGAGTTAGGTGGGTTGGGCCAGCCTGTGTGGCAAAAGGAGAGAAGACTAGAAGCAGAACTGATGAGTTTAGTAGCAGTAGAGCTTCAGGTAGGCCTAGGTATGTACCCTGGTATGTTATAGTAGCAAATATTCTTCTGCAGACAAGTGCAGGAACGTCAGGACAAAATCGTTAAACAATTAGCTTTACAAATGACTGAGGCATTAAAGAAGGAAGATGGTCGTCTTGCTAGAGACATTGCAGAAAAAGAAGCTGAAGAAGAAAAAAAACGCAAAGAGAAAGAAGCAAAGCAAAAAGCTGCCATTGAATCTATTGCTGAATACAGAGCCACTGTGGTAAGAAGCCTAGCCTGTTCTTATTCCTGCTTTACCTCAACCAAGGAGCCTGGCCCAGATCACAGCTGGTGGCTCTGGTGCCCTGGCTCGGCATGCTCCATCAGGGCCACTGACATCTTTCCTGGGCTTCTCTCTCTCCCTCTCCCCCTTCTCTGTTGGCTGCACATCTGCCAGGGCTGCTGAAAGACCTGGGCTTGGACGCTGGCCAGCCACAATGACCGTGCTCATCAGAGCGCTGATACGGGGCTGCTTCTGCTAAAACAGATGAGTTCCCACTCAGCAGGTTAGCTCCTTGGTTATCTTTTTTGTGTATTTTGTAAAATACAGATGAAGATGAAAGTAGAAAAGGAGAAAGAAGAAAAAGCAGAGAGCAAAAAAGAACGTAATGAAATAACGGAAAAATACCGCATCTACCTGGAAATGGAAAAAGACAAGAAACAAAGACAACGTGATGCCAGCATGGAAATACAGAAATTTCAGATCCAGCAAATGGTAAACAGAAGAGCTGTAACCTAAAAGAAATACGCATCTAACCCAACAGCACTAGCTCCTGCCTGAGGGGAAGAGAGGAAGTTTACTGTGTTTTGTTTGGGGGTTTTGTTTGTTGGGTTTGGTTTTTTTAAATAATTTCTTAATTCATTTATGCTCCACATACATGGAGCAGCCTCCTCCCAGAGCAGTGGTGCAAGTCAAAGCTGGTTCACAGGGACGGATCACCTCTTGTGCTGTGCCATTATGTACTACTGCTGTCCTCTGGTATCTTCTGGGCAGGTCACCAAAGAGCAACAACTAATGCCAACGTTCACTTAGCTATTTAATGTATCTTTTTTTTTGAGGGGGGGAGGGCACGGTACAGCAGGGAAGAAAAGTGGGGAAAGATGATATCAGACAAGTATCAACTAACATCACCACAGATGTCCTAATAACCTTTTACCCCCTCTTAAGTTTTAAGAGATAGTTAGGTTGTGAAAGAAATACTAAGCTTTGTTATTCCCTTTTCTTCATCAGGCTGAAAAGCAGGCAAGAAACCAGCAGGAAAAGCAAGCAGACTTGGACTACGATGCTCAGACAGAGTTTATTGCTCTTTGTAAAGAGCATGAATTTCAGAGCTATGCAAAGCAAGTAATTGCATCAGAGGCCAAGACTACACATCATCTTTATCCTCTTCTCAAAGCATCTGAAGATGTAAGAGGGATCGGGCTCAGGCCATTTTCCAGAGAAACAGAAGGATCAAATGGTTTTCAAGCACAGGATGGTGCTGGGACCCAGTAACCTCGTAGCTGTACTACCACACAAGAAGACAAAAACATGAAGTAATATAGAGACTATCTAGCAAGGAAGGGCAGAAGCAGTTTTCATGTGATTAAAAAATATATCTTTTTGAACCTTGCAGGCAGAGTTACACTACATCTATTATATGCTATGAATCACAAAGTCTATTTGGGAAAAAAAAATTGCCTGAGAACTGGTTATATTCTCAAAAATCCCTGCTTGTATTTCATAAAAGTTAGTTTATTAAACTTGAGGCAGGAAGGCATGATATATAATTGACCATCCATGTAACCCATTCCAGCCAAAAGCTCACTATTACTGTTATATTTTTATTATTCATTGTCCCACGTCTTTCAGGCCTGGAATATGTATTCCCAGTGCAAAAGGTCACATTTTTCACTAGCTTACTTCCAGTTAAGTATTCCCCATACTTTATACGATCTACAGAGAAAGAAAAAACAACCTTATAGATGTGAAAGAACAGTAATGGCACTGCCATTTTTATAGAATTTTGCAACTACCTCTGTAAAGCAAATGTCACACTATAAATGAGTTATATTCTATGAAATAAAACGTGATTTGATCACAGCCCTTAAAAAGTCACCTAGGAAGCAAACAGGCCCAAACATAACTCTCAATAGCTGCTACAAAAAGAGCATGGCAATGAGAGATAGCAGTTGGACTGTTCTTTCAAAAAGACTAATAATGATTCAAGCTGCAGTAAATAGATCTGATCTGAAATTGCTTCTCAGATTCCTCAGCTGATTTACTCTCCAACACACAAGTCACCCACACATCTCACTCCTTAAGCTTAGTTTCTTCGCCAAAATTTTACCATCGTGTTCCTGCCTTGAACACAGTTAGGGTTTCCTGTAATGACTTCCTCCATCAGTAACCTGGAGTCTAAATAGGGTATCCCCGCCATTCAGGGGTCCTCTGGAAACAAAACCCAAGAAACCTGAAGCTTTGTTTTGCTGCACACAAACTTCTGTTCCAGCCCTCCAGCTGCCTGTCTCTGTTGGCCAAACTAGAAAATGATGCTAGTTCTAGGGAAAAAAAACAACACCACCCCCCCAACCAAACAACCAGACAACAAACCCAGAACTAGTTTTACACAAAGGGTGCTTGCCAATATTTTAGCTTGGAAACAGGTCTTTTGTGAGCCTGGCTTCAGTAGCAACAGGCTTTGAAGAAAGCACAGGACTTTGAGCAAGACCTGAGGCTATCCCGGGTGAGGTCCCTCCTGCAAGCTGAGGGCCAAGCAAAGCTGGTTTTGCCTCCCCTACGGTGTAAAACATCTAGATGTAACATGGATATACTCCTTCCCCAGTGCAGCAACCATCTCCTTCCCCGAGGATTCTCTTCCAAGCAGGGCAAAGGAGGAACTTGTCGAAGGAGGGGGAGGACCGACCCCCTCATCCAGCTCCCAGGGCCGCCAGGGGTTTTCCTCAGGGAAAAGTGTCCAAGGGCCGCTTTTTGAGTCCAGATAACGGATAAAGGCGTCTCCAACACGCAGCTACAGGCAGGCCTAGCGGGATGCGGGTTACGTGCGGGCGCGGCAGCCCGCAGAGCCAAGTCAAAGCGCCGCACCACCGGCCGCGCAGAGCCGAGGCAACCCGGCGGGAAGAAAACCCAC